TAATGGAAGTAAGTATAGGTTAAAACAGTGATGGTATGGGAAATGCAGGATTCTAGAGGATGACCACCAAAGGGTTGTTTTGAGAACAAAGAACTTGAATACATTTGATGAAAGCCTCTTTGGTTGGAAATAAAGCAGGAAATACTTTGCTAATTAAAAAATAACATTAGGTCTGTTTCAGCTTTTGAGAATTCATTAGTTCATTGTCAGTTTCTGCTTCTCCTCTATGAAAGCTTTTCTTCTTAAATTTGCTTTCAAAAGAACAATCATATTTCTACCTTTGGTCAAGTAGAATGGCAGTGACCCCCTCTCAGCCAAAATAAACAGTCTGATGAGCTATATGATGCTGGGCATCAGCAACCACGGACAATGAAACCGAAGTGACAACAAAAATGAAATAAGCCTCATGATGCCCTAGCATTTTGCTTGGAGAGTTTACAGGCTCTGGCTCAGGGATGGTGACTCGAGTGGAGGCTGATGGTTTCCCAGAGGTGAAAAGATGGAGTAGGGAGTTTTCAGAGGCCAAGGCAGCTGGAGTTCACAGGTAGAGTACAAGACAGGAAGTGCTGCACAGAGGGAGGTGTGCATAGGGGCCCCTGGAGGGCTCAGCTGAAAACTGATCAGTGTACTGGTATGACATGAATCAAGGCCAGGGGAAGAATTATCCAGAAGCAGAAGTAGAGGAAACAACCTTTGGAGCTTACAAAGTTCTGGGCATAATCCCTGTTTTCAAAGGCCAGAAAACAAAACTAGACCAAATGTCATTCTGTTCTTGCCTAACAAAGCTTAAAAAAGGCCCAGAAGGATCAACCTTGGTAATGGAAATGTGTCCCAGAACAAAATGCAATAATATTTATAGGAAAAGAAACAGTCTCAATACCTAATGGAGTTAAGTTCACTAGGTCTAGCATCTACTAAAAATGTCCAGACATGCAAAGAAGCAGGAATATATGACCTGTAATGAAATTAGTTAATCAACAGAAACTGACACCTTGTGACACAGATACTTGAGTGAGTAGAGAGGGACATTAAAACAATCATTACAACTGTATTCCACCAGCTAGGGAAAAAGTATAACATGTGAAGTAGAGATATGAAAGATATAAAAATGACTCAAATCAAAATTCTAGAGAAGGGAAAATTCAATTGATTGAAGAATAAAACAGTAATGAATTTGAAGACACAGCCAAAGGAATTTTCCAAAGCAAAACACAGAAATAAAGAGAAATACAAACAATAAACAAATGTTTCCATATTTAACAAAAGTGTATATTTTAAGCTGCAAGAGTCTCAACAAACCTCAAATTCAAGAAACATCATGTGCTAAGGCACAGCATAATAAAATTGGTCAAACCACCAGACTTCTTATCCAGAACAATTCAAGCTGGAAGACAGTGGAGAGACAAACAAACAAACATGAACACAACCATCAACCAAGAATTAAAGTACTGAAAAGAAAATAAATACTGTCAATGTGAAATTTTTACCCAGTGAAGAAAATAGCGTTCAAAAATGAAAGCAAAATGAAGATATTTTCAGATATACAAAAGCTGCAAGAAAATCATCAGCAGACCTTAATTGTAAAAGATGTTAAGTGAAGTCCTTCACGCAGAAGGAAATAATAATCAAAATTCCAAATCTGGATGGATATAAAGGAAGAAAAAAATACTGAAAATGGATGTAAAGATTTTAGAATTATTTAATTCTCCTTAAAAGACCGTTTTAAGCAAAAATAATAGTGCAGAGCTAGGGCTGGCGCTCCATGGCAGAGCCTAGGCCAAGCATGAGCTAGGCCCTGGGTTCAGCCCCTAGGACTGCAAAAAAGAAAAAAGAAAGAAGCACGTTAATGGGTATCATTCTATATTTTTATAACAGCATGTATACATAAACACACGTATAAATTCCAGTTAACAAAAATTATATTATTCTATATACATTTTACATGAGCTTGCTTTTCTCATTTAACATAGTATATGATGTCTTTCTGTGTCAAAATTCATAAATTTGTTTTTAATAGCTGCATCATATTTCTCTATTCTTATAATGGTGGACTAAGCTTGGCTTTTGTTAAGGGACTGAATTTTGTGTTTCATCCTTCTCTGAACTCATATACTGCAACCCCAGTGTAAGTGTATTTAGAGATAGAGATAGTGCCTTCATGCAGGTAATTCTGGTTAAATCAATCATAAGGGTAGAGTCCTGATGCAATAGGATGACTGTTACCATAAGAAAGTAGGTGACAATCTACAAGCCAGAAAGTTGGCCAAATGGGCTGGCAACTAATCTTGGATTGGGAGAAATTTCTCATTTCCTTCCTCCCTCCCTCTCTTTCTCTTTCTCCAGGGGCTACATCACCCAGGTTGGCCTCTAACTCTTAATCCTTCTGCCTCAACCTTGAGTACTGGGATTACAGGTCTGTGACCCACACCTGGCCTGGGAAATAAGCTTCTGTTGGTTAAGCCACATGGTTGATGTTTTGTTATGACAATCCAAGTTTACTAATATTGTACTGAAACCCCTTACACGTTCACCTTTGCACACTCATGCTAACAGGTCTGTAGGAGAGATTCCTGGAAGTTTGACTGCTGAGTTGTGGAGCTTGTACATTAATGCCATTTCTTCCTGGCAGTGCCAGGTTTTGCATTTTGATGATCCATAAGGATGTCCTTCTGTAATAGGCCATGTTCCTAGCACAGCTTAGAGTTTGATTTATATTTAGAATTAAGTAAACAGAGACATTCACCTGCTTTTCCCACCAGATCACTACTGACATTTTAGGTCAGAAGAAACCCTGTGTGTGGCAAGCTGTTAATATTCTTTCCATTTATCATCCTGCTCTCTGCTACCAAATGTTTGCCAACAGCACTCTCTCCTTAGTTATTGTTATAACCTTCAAAGTCCCATAGTTCCAAAGGTGCTAGAGGGCTACCTTCTCCATTTCAAGAAACTGTGAAACATGTTTTGAATTTAAAAACATAAAGGGGACAGTTTTGTAACTGGTAGATTTATTACTAATGAGTTATTTTACTACACAATTATTGAGGTTAGTATCTGTAAACTTTTAAATTGTAATTCCAGTATTTTCTTGGTAGGCAAATCTTCAATTTAGGCTATAGTTTTGTTTATAAATGAACTCAACTGACTGGAGGTGGATTTCACTAGTAGAGTGCATGATTAGCATTTGAGGCTCTGAGTTCAATCCCTACCACCAAAAGACAAAAAACAACCCCTCATAATTCATAATATTAAATTTTTAAAAAGAAAATTTCAAATAAATGGAATAATACAAGGATTATGTGGATTATCTATGTATCCACTACTCACTTTTTAAATGTTTTTTATTAGGATATAATAGTTGTACAAGGGGTTTCCTTGTGACATTTGCATATAAGTGTACCTGGGTTCAGTCCATTCTCTCCATCTTCCCCCTACCTACCCTCTTCTTAATCCACTACTCAGTTAAAAAAGGTAACATTATCTAGAGTTCTTTTGAAAGTTTTAAAAATTGTTTCAGAAAAAAAGACACATATAGGGCACATTTGTATTTCTACTTAAGGACTTGCATTAAATTAGTGTATAGTGTGTATCTGTTCCTCTAATTTGTAATAGTCAGAATATGGTCTCCCACAAATGTCCACGTTTCAACCTCACCAACCTGTGAAAATGTTAACTTAAATGACAAAAAGGAACTAAAGGTTGCAGATGTGATTAAGGTTAAAAACCTAGAGACAGGGAAAGTTGCTTGGATTATCCAGGTGAAGTCAATTTAATTACCTGAGCTTGTAAAATTGGAGAATCCTTCCCAGCTGTGGTCATGGAAAGGCAGAAATGACACCGACTTTGAAGGAGGAAGGGGGTCATGAGCCTCTACAAAGTTGGAGAAAGCAGGGAATAAACATTTAGAGACTCTAGAAGGAATTCACCCAGCCCCAAGCTTGTTAACATACTGAGACCCATTCTGGATTTCTCACCTATAGAACTGTAAGATAATATATTTGTTGGTTTAAGCCACTAACTTTGCGGTAATTTGTCACAGCAGGAATAGAAAATTTATATATCTTATAATTTACTGCATATTTTCATAACCAATATACAATACTGGTAATATTGGTTTTTGTTTCAAAACTTGACCTCAACATTCTTAGTAGAGATGTATTGGTTATATTTAAAATCCCTTGGGGTGTTTTTAGCTCAAAATATGCTATTATATATTACTGACCCGCAGTGCAGTGTAATGTTACTCTTAAGACAAAGTGGTTGAGTTCTTACTAGGAAAAAATTTGTGCTCAAGATAGTGTTGTCAGATAAAACACGAGAGGACGAATTAAATTAAAATCTTAGATAAACAATGAATAACATTGTGTGTATGGGGCGGTACTGGGGATTGAACTCAGGGCTTGCACTTGCTGGTCAGGTGCTTTACGGCCTGAGCCACACCTCCAGCTCACGATTACTTTTTAGTAATAAGTGTAATTGTTGAATGTTTGCTAAATTTGTAATCCTAGGCCCTGAGTTCGAACCCCAGTACTGCCAAAAAAAAAAAAAAAGGGAAAAGCAAAAATAATCGGAATAAGAATGCTTGTCTCAGAGCCGTAAACTCCAATGAAAATCAAACTATTTAATAAAGGCACTAAGTAAGGGCCGGGGCGTGGCTCAAGTGGTCGAACGCTTGCATCAGGCGTTGGGTTCGATCCCCTGTACGGAAAAAACAAAAAAGCAAACTTCTCAGAAGAATGACGGTTACGATTATAGTTTTGCCCTCCTTGCTGCTTCCAGGCCCGGGTCGATCCCCGTCTCCTGCCTGGCTTCCAGTTGGACCACTCCGCGGGCATCCGGGTATCACGCCGAGGTCTCGCGGCTTCAGTTCCGGGTCCCCAGCAAGACCCGCTTCAAGCCGTGCCCCTCCTCTGCTGTTTTGGCTCCTCCCGGCTTCCGCCTTGCTTCGCGAAGGTCACGTGCTTCTGTCCACGTGACGGCGCTGCTGTCATTCTGCGGCCGCTCTGGCTTCCTGCTGTCTGCGCCGTCCTCAACGACTCCTGGAGCGGGGGTGCCTTCGCGTTCTGCCCTGAGCCTTCTGCTGCCGCTCAGCCTCCGGACCCAGGCAAGACGCCAGAGCCACCGACCGCCGCACCCTCCCGCGTCCTTTGGGGGGCGTTGTAGGGTCCCAGGGTTCGCTAGGTAAGGCCGCCCACGGGTCGTTTGGTCTCGGACACTTGCTCGCGTGAGTTATCCCTGCGGTTCCTCTAGCGTCCCTGCTGCGGCAGGTGCCTGGCCCAGGGTGCCAGATTTTTTTCCGACTAGGCCTCACCTGTGGTTGCAAAACCCCCAGGGCGAAGGAAGAGGGAGGCGGGCAGGGGGACGGGCCGGGGTCCTCGCCGTTCAGGGACCTGGATCTCAGCTTCAGGGGTCTCGCGCTCCAGCTAAGGCCGGGGCGGCCGAACCTGGCCGTTGCCGGAGTTCCAGCCCGGCCCGGATAGTGCCTGTTTTCACTGGGCCCTGGCCTTTTCCACTGCGCTTGCTTGTTTAGGCAGCAGATCCTCAGATACAGAGATTACGTTCCAAACCCTCTAGTCACTCGGAACGCGGAATAGAATTTTGGGTATGATTTTAGCTTCTTTGCGGCCGTGGGCAATAACATATTTTGCAAATGGAAACCTAGGTTTTGTGTTGTGATAAAATCAGGCTAAGTCTAAGAGAGAGAATTGCTTAGAAGCTCGTTGTGGTAGGTTATCGTTCCGTTGTTGGCTGTACTTAAATTGTAATAGGTATTTGTTACAGAAACTTCTCCCAAAATTGATTTTTAAAATACTATAAAGTTTGGTTGAAAAAGAAAGCCCCATTTTCCAAGAATTTACGTTCCCACTATGTATATTTTATTTTGAATGAGTAATTTTAGAAAGGGATTGTAATTTTAGTGTTAAAATTTTTAATGTGTCACTTCAAATGAGGCTTAGTAAACTCTAAGAGAGTACAATAATTGATCTTGCCTGTATCTTACAGGTTTTATTTTTTTCCCTGTTAGAAGAGGCAAGTTGAACCCGATTGTATAATTTTAAAATAGTTTTCTTAGCATCCCGCAGAACCCTGGGTGCAATCCTCAGTACCAAAGGAAAAGAAAATAGTTTCCTATTCTGTATGCCTACTCTATTTAGTCATGATGTCTGATATCATTTTAAAAATTTTACTGTAATATCAAGGCAAACAATTTAAAAACCTTTCCTGGAAAAGAAAAAAGCATTTAAGAGAACCCTTTTATCAAACAGTGGATAAGATTTGAAATGTGTCAGTGTTTTCAGACTAGAATATTTAATATTTGAGTTGAATGCCTGGGGAAATTAAAGCAATGATAATAGTAGTGGTAGTTGTGGAAAAAAATAATGCCTGGTGTTGTGTTTTTACCCTGCACCTAAATTAAAGGTCTGTTAAAGAACATTCAAGATAATTAAAATAGATGACCAAAATGGATATTCGAGGTGCTGTGGATGCTGCTGTCCCAACCAATATCATTGCGGCCAAGGCTGCAGAAGTTCGGGCCAACAAAGTGAACTGGCAGTCCTATCTTCAGTAAGTACTGATTTGCTCTGAATCACGGGTATCATGTGCTTTTGTATCAGACCTTTTCATGGTCATGCCTCTATGAGCAAAATACTGGAAGAATACTCAAATGTGGAAAAAATATTTCTTCCTTAGGATAATTAGCTGTCTTAGGGAGACAGCTTAGTGTGGTGGCAACAGTTTGGGGCTCTCGTGAGGCAGTAGAGCAGTTCATAGTGCTTTTGACCTCATCTGTCTGGAAAGAAGCACCTTTCGAATGAGAGGGAAATGTGGGAGGAATGTTCATGAACTATGGAGAGAGGAAGAGAATGAGGGACAAAGCATACCACATAGGCCTGGTATGCCCTGTAATTAGAGTGGGGAACTCAATAGCTCTTAATACAAGGCATAGATGTTTGTGAGTTTTGAGACCTGGGTTTGAGCTCTGGTTCTTTTGACTAGTTTGGTGTTCTTAAATAAACCACTTAATATTTCTGAGGTTCGAGACCTGGGTTTGAACTCTGGTTCTTTTGACTAGTTTGGTGTTCTTAGACAGACCACTTAATATCTGTGAGGTTCAATAAAGTAAATGGGAAATGGGGATGCATATCCTACAGCTTATTTCTGAAGTGGTGTATTTGGAGTATTAGAACAGTTAAATACAATCATTCATATGTTGAGCACATTCAATAAGTTTAGTTCTTCCCCTTTCTTAAGTGTATTGAGACTGATTGTGCTCCTGTCTCAATATTCTGTCTATATCTATAAAGTAAAGCATTCATTTATTCTTGGCCTTATTTTATTATATTGGCTTTATTTTATATCTGCTTCAGCATATTTATAATAGTGAGTTATTAAGGAAATTTAGTTTAGATTTACATATGAATTTTGAAAGATAAATTGACAAACTTGCTTTATATTGAGTTTATTTTATTGTAGGAGGGATGTACAGTGTACAAAAATGATTTTTTCTAATTTAGTCATTTATTGTTTACTGATTACCTTCCAATTTTGAGACATTTTTCTAGACTTTGTGGATACAAAAAAGATATACACTAGAATTCTGAAAGGATCTGATATTGTAGAAACAAATCGTTTTAATTTGATGTGTTAACTTTAGTAACAGAAAGATGTCCAGAGTCTGATGGGTGCACAGAAAAAGGACAGCCAATCCTACCCTCAGGAGTTTTCCTAAAGGAGATGGTCCCTTAACTGTGTTTTTCCAGGATGAGTGGTATTTGGCTAACCTTCCAAGTAGAACAGGCATTATGAATAAAGACAGGGAAGCAGAACTGGCTTGCTGGGTTGAAGTCAATCATGTTTTGGAGGCAAGCAGTGGGAGCGCTGAGGGTGAGAGGCAGTCAGTACCTGATTGTGAATGTCCTGGGTGCCCTTGGAAGGAGTTTGGATTAGATCCTTTCAGTCAGTGTTTTTCAAGGTGATTCTTAAGCTTAATTCTTAAGATTAACATGGTTAATCTTAATAATGAAACTTAACTTGTAAGACAGTTAAAAATGATAGTTGAATGGACGTGGGAGTGTGTGTCTCAGAGCCTTCGTTTTAAGATCCTTCATCATCATTAGAGTTCTAGGGAGCACAGTTTAAAAACCACTGCTGAGGCTGGGATAGCAGCTCAGTGGCAGAGCACTTGCCTAGCATGTGTGTGAGGCCATGGGTTTGATGCCCAACAGCACCGCAAAAAACAAATAACAGTCCTAAACATCACTGCTATAGCTGTTGAAGTTCTTAGCTGGGAATTAGATGATCAAATTTGCTTCTTGGTTGGATTGTTCTGCTGATAGTATAAAGGGTGAACTTGTGGGTAACAAGCCTAGATGTAGGGAGAGGCAACAATAGTAGTTAAGGTTGTTAGAATGGACAAAATTGGGAAGGTTTGAAAAAGTCTTAGTGATCAATTTGATGTGTGAGGACAAGAGAAGTCTAGAATGTGTTATAGATTCCTGCTTTAAGGAACTGGATTATTGTGTGGTCAATGACTGAATGATAGGAAGAGGACGAGGAGGGTCTTACTGATATTTTCCTTTTTCATTGTATCTTGTAATAGTTTAAATCCACTATGAAACTAGACTTCTGAGCACTGTTTCCTAATTTCTTTCATCTAGAATGTGTTTAAACTAAAGGACAAGGAGTTCCATGTTTATAAAACCTGAATCTGTTTATAACATAAATAGAATAAGATTGTTGTTCCTAAAGTACTAGCAGGACTTTCTCTAGTTTTGTTATTCGGATGTTTTTAGTGACATGGAGATTTTCAATTGCTTTCTCTTCTGTTCTTCTAGTCCCATGGCCTGTGTACATTGTAGTCTCCCTTCTAATTCTGTTGCCCATTTCAAATATTTCTTTTAAAAACCCTCTATTTGGTATGTCTGTGTGGAAGTGCTCACTGAATGTTAACTGTGTGCCTGCTGTTAAGCCTGTTGATGTAGGGTTGCGAGTGGGTGTGAAATGTGCCTTCCATAAGGGCTTACAGATTGTTGGGGGCTGGACAGGGCACATGCATGATCAGAGATCAGCATGTACTGACACAATAAAACCTGTAGAAGAGGTCTTCAGTATAAAAAGGCCAATATGTTTTTTGTCCTTTACAAGTTAACATGTTACAGAAATACAGTATTCAAAATGTATTTATATAAGATTAAGCTTTTACTAGAGAGCTTGGAAGGGAGTGGGTTTGGGAATGTTTCATTCACACTGGAATCCAATAAAAGAATATCTTGAGGATATAAGAATCAGTACATACCAACCTTGCTCTTGAATTTAAAGTCAAATGAAGAAACAGACCTTTCAACAAATTACATAATAAATTGTGATAAGTATTAAAATGGAGAAATGTATAAAACATGCATATGACAAAAGGAAATATATAACAAAGAAAGAACACTAGGAGCACTAGGGAAGTTTTCACAGAACATGTGAAGATGCACAGAGGAGTTCTCCAACAGGAGCTGAGGGCTGCAGTAAGGGGAGCTTTTGGCAGTAGCTGAGGCTTGGAAGAGCTTGAAGTGCTTGGAGGACCTTCAAGTAGTGTGCTGTGGCTCCCTCCAGGCTGCTTCAGGCCATTGTGTTCTGAGGTGCTCACATTGTTACAGAGGCCAGCAACACTGTTCTGCTAATGCATCTTCACAAGAATGGTCTGAATTTAGAGGTTAGGACGGGGGTGAAGTTACTGTGACCTGTTTGAGTCCTTGATGAGTGCAGAAGTTGGGAGGTCAAGCCAGTTTAGAGATGAAGATTCAGTAGTGATGTTGCTGAATTTGTTTCTACATGGAGGTAGAAGCCAGTTGGAGATGATTTAGGGGAGAGGAAAGATGGGACTCTTGATTTGAATCTCCCTGAAGGGAAGAGTTTGGGGAAAAAAAGCAAGCTTCCAAGGATCAGCCATTGGGAGAAGTTTTGAAGAACAAAAAGCCAGTGATGAAAGGACTGGAGGAGTGGGGAGGAAACAAAGCACTGTGTGATGAGTTCTGGGAGGACAGGGATCTGAATGGGGCAGTTTATTTGTCAGAGAGGAGAAGGATGACCTTCTGTGTCTGGAGGGAAAAAAATATCTGGAAGAAATGATTATAGAAGTTCATTATAAACGACTTTGGTTGTGATGAATTAGAAGGCCAAGCAAATTGTTTGGTTTGGAGGGGAGAATAAGAGTGAGACTTTGGATAATGCTAAGAGATGACATTTTATTGAGCGTGTATTATGGGCCAGGTGCCATGTTGACCATTTTATTTGAATTGTGTAATTTTGTCCTCAAAAAAAAACATGGTTTATGTTCCCATCTTGCAGGTAAGTTAATCCAGGTTCCACAGAAGTCACACCATCAGTAAATGGTGGAGCTAAGCTTTGAACTTAAGCTTATATGATTGCAGGGGCACTTAGCCAACACCTGTGATTTATTACTATCAAAAGACAGAATTTAAAGATCTTAATTGGCTTTATTTGTGATTCTAGAATGCAGGAAACACCTCATTTCATAAAACAGAGTAAGTGCTCAGATGGACTGAGCAGAGGAGGTTGGTTTTATAGACAAAGGCTTAGGAAAGCAGAAACAAAGGACAAAAAGCTAATTTGTCATTTCAAAGTTACTTTCCCCCTAAGGTAGGGAGAGAGAGCCCAAACAATAGAAAAATAACTGATCAGTGTCTGGTAAGGGTGAAAGCAGAGGGAACTTCATTATCATGCCCATTGAAACTGGACATGTGGGAAATTTGACTGTTCTGTTTCCTGATCTCTCAACATGGAATGACAACTTAGTTTCAATTTGGTGATAATGGGACTCTGTTTTTGATTTTTAGTGTAGGTGCCTTGTCCAAAACAATGGTCTCCTGTAATTTTTATTGCATTCTACCAAGGAGAGAGGAAAAAGGCTAGGAATTCCTCCATCATTTGTTCACATGGCTGTCCAGCTTTTTTTGAACAAAAGAACTTTTTGTTACTTTCTAGGGGGCAGATGATTTCTGCTGAAGACTGTGAGTTTATTCAAAGGTTTGAAATGAAAAGAAGTCCTGAAGAGAAACAAGAGATGCTACAAACTGAAGGCAGCCAGGTGAGTCTTACATGCATTTTATCATGAGCACTTACTTCCCCATTAAAAATTCTAGAAAGAGCGTGGGTGTAGCTAAGTTGTAGAGTGCCTTCTAAGTATGCACAAGGCCCTGAGTTTAACCACTAGTCAGATATGCACCATTATTATTTAATTGTTTTGCAGTGCTCGGGATTAAACCCAGGGCTTTGCCACCTACCAGGCAAGTGCTCTAGCACTCAGCTACACCCCCAATCCTGCACCATAATTTAATTAACAGTTCTTTTATGGAAAATATGTCATCTTCAGTTTTCTTTGTTAATTTTATACCTTTATCCTTTCCTTTCCGTTGTACTGGGGGTTGAGCTTGGGCCTATGTATGCTATGTAAGTGCTCTGCTACTGGGTTCCATCCCAGCCCTTTTTAACATTTTTATATTGAGATAGGGTCTCACTAAATTATTCCATGCTGGCCGCAGACTTATGGTCCTCATGCCTCTGACTCCTAAGTAGTTGAGATTGTAGACTTGTGCCTCCATGTCTGGTTCTTTTCTGTATTTTTGAAATTTTTGAATTTTGAATCTAAGACTAGTTTTCTAAAGAAGAACTTGCTTAACTTTAAAAAAAAAAGACATTTTCTACTTTATATTCTTACTAGTAATGTTTGAAGTGCCTAAAATAAAATATTTGAATTTGTAGGTTAAGAGAGAGATGTTATTACTTTATTTCATGGGACTGCATTTTTATCATTCATTTTTGAAAAAGATCTTTGTATCTCTTTTGAACTATAAGATTTTGGTACTTTTTGATTTGTACTGTATTTTTTGTGGAAGAGTCCTAGGAATTCATCTTAGGGCCTTGTACTTGCCAAGAACTTGCTCTACCACTGAGTTAACCCCCCCCCATACAGTCTTTTTATATAGAAAAATCTATTAACATTTACCATATTTGTGGCACACATGGTTTTCTTATTTATTATTCATCTTTGAATTGTTTTAGAGTTTTGCATATATATTACTTTAAAACATTTACAATTACATGTGTTGAGGTTTTTACCTTCTTTTGTGATGTTTGTTGTAGAAAAATAAAGTACAATTAAGCAAAAGGAAGAAAATTAGCATTACTTTGTCTCATATTCACCTGTTCAAGATGGAACCTGTTATCACTTTCGTGTATCCTTCTCTAGACATTTTTCTATGCATATATAACCTACACATTTATTAATACAAATAATGAGGTTTTTCCAAAAATGAAATTATATATACATGGTTGTGTTTCTCCATTTAACTGAATATACCCCCTTGCGGACACTTGTAACAGATTCCTGTGCCTTTTTAAAATAATTGTGTAGTTTTCTGCTCAGAACTATAATGTTCTAAACCAGTTCCCTACATATTTTGGTAATTTCCATTTTTTTCCTGCATATTGAATCCCTGTTGTGTGCTCAGTAAGACTGGAGAAATGGTGCTAAGAAATAAAGGTATTAATAAAAGAGCTAAGGAGTTTATTAAACTGGTTCCTTTTTTAAAAAATTATTTTATTTTGGGAGTACTGTTGTTCAGACTCAGGGCTTCACATTTGCTAGGTAGGTACTATACCACTTGAGCCAGGCCTCTAGTCTTTTTTGCTGTTTATTTTGTATGTAGGCTCTTACTCTTTTCCCCAGGCCAGCCTGGACTACAATTCCTGTCAGTCACTGGGATGAGAGGTATACGCCACCATGCTGCTTTTTTCCATTGAGAATTTGGTCTTGTGAACTCTTTGCTGGAGCTAGTCTGAATCTGCCCTCCCCAGTCCTCTGCATCGCATGGGATGAATGACAGGAGTGCCATCACTGTGCCCAGCTATTGCTTGAGATGGGATGTCCTGCCTTGTTGGCCTTACAGCAGTCCTCTAAAGTAGTTAGGATTACAGGTGTGAGCCACCAGTGCCTCACTTAAATTGGTTCTTTCTTAAATGCAGTGTCTGGTGTTTTGGATCATTTATGGGTTGTTGCCAGGAAATAAGTATCTGGTTTTATCCAAACAAAATAAATGGCCACACATTTGTAAAGAAGTTACGACAGAAAAGCTGCAGGCAATTTATATATAAATATATATATGTATATATTTTTGTTGTTGTTAAAAGAGGTTAAAGTATTAATACTTTAATATTTTCACTAAAAATACCAAATTATTTATTACTCTTAATTTTCTAAATGAGGTAAAGGTTATCATAGGTATATTTTGTAATCTTTAAAATTTCACTGTTCAGTATGGTAAGTAGGCTGTCCATGAAAGATAAGACTCTTAGATATAGTATACGTTCTTGAGTGAGTATGATTTTGACCTTTATTGCATGCTGTTTGCTACATTGAGGACTTATTGAATTAATGAATACTGAATGTGAAATATACTCCAATTTTTATTCTCATAGGGTGGGAAAGGTTTCAAAGTATGATTCCAAATGTGTTATTTAATGGTGTTGCATACAGCAATCCATGATTTTTTTGGTGATTTATTGCATTTTATGGAGCAATTTAATTGTGTCCTATTTGATTTATATGTTGAGTTTAGAACCTGGCCACCACATAAGGTGCAATTTCCACTGCCCAACAGATTTTCTGCTGTGGGACCCTGGTTGGTTGAAGGAGCCTATATACAATCAGACTTGTGGTCTGATTCTCACAACAGTTTTGGGAAATTTGGTAGGTGACCTGTTGTTGGCTCTAGTTGATTCCAGAGTGATGTCATATAGTTGATAATGTTGTAGGATGGAGACAGATCAGAATTTTCTGAATGTAATCTCCAGTATTCTAATTTGAATGTTTGGCTTCTCAGTAAGGACAAAAACCAAAGAATAAAATAAAATATTCAAGACCAGTTGTAATTTTAATCGTGTGTGCATAACTTTATGCTGTCCTTGGGTATCAAGAGTTGGTAGTGGCTAGATATGTGTGTTTACAAATAGCAAACATTTTGAAGCTTATCATGAGAAATGACAAAAAAATATGATTAAGTCATAATTAGGTTCATATATGCCTCATAAAGTTATTTATAAAGGGTATGCATACATTTTCTATAATTCTGTTAGCTTATAGCGTTTGTTTCCTACTGGGTGGAAAAGAAACAAAAGTTTTACATTAAAATGATGCTTGCAAATGAAAGCAATAATTAACATTAATTTAATTTTTTCCAGTGTGCTAAAACATTTATAAATCTGATGACTCATATCTCCAAAGAGCAGACAGTGCAGTACATACTCACTATGGTTGATGATATGTTGCAGGTAGGTATATTCTTTCCCTATTTTTGTGAGACTGGGGCTTGAGGGCTTCTTGTTTGCAAAGCAGATACTCTACAGCTTGAGCCATACCTTTAGTTCATTTTGCTTTGGTTATTTTGGAGATGGGGTGAGGGGTTTCTCATAAACTATTTGCCTTGACTGGCCTTGAACTGTGATCCTCCCAATCTCAGCCTCCCAAGTAGCTAGTATTACAAATATGATCCACTGGCTCCCAGCCTCAGCTAGGTATATTCTTAATATTTTTGGTGATTTCCTCTTTTTATGTACTTCACAGTAACATTTCTCAACATTATACTGTTGATTCTCTTCTGGGGCATAAGAATATATTTTTTACTAATTTTGTGAGTTGTAATTTGCTAATGATGCTAAAGATGGAAATGCTTACATAGGGTATTTTATGTTGCTTTTCAGAATATTAAATAACCAGTATATATATTTTCTTAAAATGCTTCCAGTTTTTTTGTGGAATATCAATACAATCTGAAAAATCACGTGAGGCTTTTTAAATACTCAGTGTGCTTGCAGCTCCTTCCTTTTCAGCCAGTCAACAGATTTTGATGCCTGTGTGCTCTAGGCCAGTGTTAGGCACAGGTGGTTCAGTGCTTTTGTTCCTTGGAGAACAGTTTTTCTTATAATCTGAAACTTTTACAGGTGCTTGAAGTGTCTGCCTACTACTGTAATTACCTATGAATGCAGAGGGATTTATTCATTATTTTGTATTTTATACCAGAGTTTAATCTAGGCTTAGATTGTTGCATATAGAATAGGTCTTATGAGATGGGTTCTTCAGTTGTTGAGTCCAGTGTCAGTCTGGATGCTGAGGGAGTGTTGCTCTGTCAGTTTACCAGGAAGAAAACCATTTATTATTGGCCTACTCTTTGGTATACACTATGGCCTTTATTAGGGATATAAAAGTTGAGAATGGTGCCATCATATCTTTTATAGGAAGTAGTGATTTATAGTTTGAGGAAGGGTTAATACCAATCCTGGCCTGATACAGGCCTGTCTCTAATGATCCTGTCTCCTACAACACTTTTTCCTTTAAAGCAGTAAAGTTAAGAAAAACAAGATCTTGCCTTAGTTATTATGGTTTTTGCATGAGACTGTTACCTGGGATGCAGGACTTGGCATGAGTACCAAGTCCTCAGTTATTACACATACACACGTATCTATAAATTACAAACTTTGAGTCACACTGATATTTCCCAGTTCATTTTCAACTCAGTACCATAGGATTCATTCTAGACATTCTGCCTTATTTGTAACTGTTTTGTGAGCTTCTTTTCTCCTCAGTATATTTACTTACTTCATAATACCCGGAAGTTAGTTTCAGAGTTGCTGTCCCATAGGACTGTAGAATGCAAGCCTTTTAGGAAGAGTTCAGTACTTGCATGTGTTTGTCTTTAAACTGAGGGTGTGTAGTCAGAGTATTGTGATCAGATTTCTTTCAGAGCAGTTATTTTTCTCAAAATACCATTAGAATCATTTGTTTCTGTTTGTATTCTTCTTTAGTTTTTCCCTTTATCCTTGTTCATTTTGTCTATTTTTGAGTATGTGTAAAACATTAACATGCTTCCAGAGTCAAAATTAAATAGGAAGTTATTCTAAGAGAAATGTCAGAAACCCCACTCCATCCCTTGAACCATTCCCACCTACCTCTTACAGGTGACCAATGTCATTGGTTTCTGATTTATCTTTCCTGCTTTGTTCTTGTTATGTTCTTATTTACCCCTCTTTATTATACAAAGATACCAGATAATACTGTCCTGTTTTTTTTGCTTTTACTTAACAAAATATGCCAGAAACTATTACATATTATTTATAGAGATATCCCATATTCTGTTTTTGAAAGCCACATAGTACCCCAATAGTGGGTGTTCCATAGATTACTTAATCAAATTCTGATGTAATAGCATTGCGGTTATCCCAATATTTTATAATCAGAAATAATAAGACAAAGAATACCCTTATGCAAGTGTATCATCATATTTTTGGGAGCAGACTGTATAGTAACTTCTCAGACGTTGGATTGCTGGGTAAAGGGAACTATGTGATATTCCTCACAGTTTCCTTGCACATTCCCACCCATAGGGTGTGAGTACATGTACCTGCTAGTGGAGGACATTGTCAGACTTAGTTTTGGGTAGCTGTAATACTATCTGAAGTTGAACATCTTCTGATGTTCTTAAAGGTACTTTTATATCTTCCCCTGGGATTATTTATGTCTTTGTTTATTTTGTCTTTTATTTTTAGATTTTTTTTTTTTGAGATAGGGTCTCACTGTGTAACTTAGGCTGGCTTGGAAGTCTTGCGCTTCTTGCCTCAGCCTCCCGAGTGCTGGGACTGCAGATGTGTGATACCGTATCCAGCCTCGTTTACTTTTCCTGTAGGGTTTAGATGTCTCCCTGCCCCCAGGTTTGAGGAATTCTTTATATATGAGGGATATACCTACGATATGTAATACAAATCTGTTTTCTCAGTTTGTCATTTAACTTTTCACTTTGCTTATGGTAGGTTTTACATTGTAAAAATTCATTTTTATTATGTAGCCTATAATTTGTCAAAAATATTAATTTTGGATTTTAAGTTACAGTTAGAAAGGTTTTCCTTACACCTAAATTATTGTAGCATTCATCATGCTTTTTTCTAGTACTTTGTAGTTTCACTTTTTACATTCACTTAAGAGTTGGTTTTCGGATGTGGCTTAAGTCATATCTGATTTTGTTTTCCAAATATCATTCACTTGTTCTAGCACTGTTTATTAGAATGTTTGACCTTGCCATAGGGGTTGACGTTAAACCTCCCATGTACCTAGGTTTATATTTGGACCTGCTATACTATTCTTTTGGAATGCTTGTATGTTCATGCCCAGTACCACCCAATTTTAATTACAGAGGAGCTTCTGCTGGTTCTCTTTGTAGCTTTTTTTTTTTTAAAGTATTTTTCTAGCTGTTCTTTTGTATGAAATTGAGCATTATTCTGTTTGGGTTTGTGAAATAATCTGTTGACATTTTTATTGAGTTGCCTTAAATTTATAAATTAACTTTGGGGAAATGACATTTTTATAATACTGAGTTTTTTTCAGATAGAAAAATAAGATACAAGGAATAAGAACGAGGGATGTCTTTCTGTTTGTGTAAGTGTATGTTTATGTCTTAAGGACTGTTGTAATGTTTTTCACCTAAAGGTTTTTGAGTATTCTGTGCTGAGTTTGTGCTTGAATATTTTATCTTCTTTGTTGTTATTATAAACTTCATTTGTTTTATAATTGAACTGGTTTATATCTAAAAAGCTATTGGTGTATATTAATTTTGTTTTGGTACCTTAGTGAATTATTTTATTTGAATTCGTTTTATGATTGAGTTTTCCTTTAATGCCTCTAATACATGTTATGTAGTGGTGGAGTTAGTGAACACCTTTGCCTCGTTCTTGATCTTGGTGGAAATGCCTCCAATGTTCCCTTGTATCTGGATTTTGCGTCTGGAATTAGGTGTTTGTTAACATTATTGTATCATTTAAAAATATTTCTTATTTCTGGAGTTGACTGATGCTTTGTTAATTAGTGTAGTATCAACTTTAAAAATGTATCAGTTTTACTGAAGAATGTGTATTCTTTTGGTGTATAAAGTTTTATATATATATTCATATAATTATGTTGTTAATTAGGACATAGATCTTCTGTATCTTAATTTTTTTGCCTACTTGATCTTTTACTGAGAGTGCTATGTTAAAATGTCCTTGTATAAATGCATTTCTGATTATTTCTTCCAGCATTTTTATAGTTTCTATTTTATAAAGGTAGATACTGTATAGTTTGGTGTATACACATTCATTTCTGTTACATGTTAACTGAATTGTGGCATGTACCATTAAAAAGGATCCTTCTTGTCCTGCTTGAAATAGAATTTAAGCCAAAGTGCATTAATACTGGGATAGCAACCCATGATTTCTTACTGTTTCTACTTGCCTGTATATCATAATCTATCCCTATTTTAGATGAATAATTTACTTTTAGGTGCATTTTTTGTGTACAGTATAGACTTGGGTTGTTTTGTGAGTTGAACACCTTTCTCTGTCTCTCTCTCTCTGTTCCTTTCTCTTTTCCTTCCTCCTACTTCCACTCCCCCCCATCCTTGTTTTTTTCTTTCTTTTCTTTTGTTATATAGTCTAGGCTGGACTTAAACTCACTATGTATCTAGACTGGACTTGAACTTGAAGTCCTCCTGCCTTAGGCTCCTGAGTGCTGGGATTACAGACATGTAATACCATACTTTTTCTTTGTGGGGATCAGACCCAGAGCACTGTGCATGCGAGACAAATACTTTATCACTAAGCTACACCTCTAGCCCATATCCTTTTCTTTTAATAGGTGAGGTGAATTAAATAGTCTGATCTCAACTCTGTCATACTGTGTTATGCTATAATTACTGTGTGCATTATGTTAAATTTACTGTTCTGTTGTCTATGTGATAATACATTTTGCTTGCACTTACTAATTTTTTTCTTGGAATTTTTTAGGAGGACAGGAATTTTATCACTTGAGATAGTTTGATTTGTGCCTTCAAATTTCTTCTTATGGTAGCTTTTTTGTTTTTTTTTTTTTTGCAGCATTGGGGTTTGAACTCAGGGCCTTCACCTTGAGCCACTCCTCCAGCACTTTTTTTGATGGGTGTTTTTTTGAGATAGGGTCTCATGAACTATTTGAAGGTTGGCTTCAAACCACGATTCTCCTGTTCTCTGCCTCCTGATTACACTAGGATTACAGGCGTGAGCCACCGGCGCCTGGTTGGTAGTTTTGTATAAACTTAGGCTGCTTTCATCTATTCATGTCATGTATTTGGATTGTTTACATGATCCCTAGCTCAGAAGCACCCTCTTCTCTTTTTGTAGTAATCATAGTTTCTTTCAAGGATGACTTTCTTTTGGTGGGGAGCAGATAATATGTCCTTTGATTTTTTTTTTTAAGCTCCCATTTTGTCTTGAAGAATTCTAAATTTCCCCCTTTTGTTTCTTTTTCTCTTTATTACCCAGTCTCTTAGTGATGTCTTTCTTTTGGTCTTTCCCAAAAGTTATGCCTTTCCAAGACTGCTATATGCTCTCGGAGTCTGTAGTCTGGCCTACCAGGCATCTTTTTCATTTCTTTCACAATTAGAGTATATTTTATTTCTAAGGTGATTAAAGATTAGGACCTCTGCTTGTATGTGTATCTTTGCTTTTATACACATTATCCAGATACACCTTCTCATACACAAAAGTTTGAGATGCATTTGAGGCATAGCTTTACTGGTATTTAGTATTTATTTTTTATTTTTGCAGTACCAGGGATTGAACCCAGGGCTTTGAGCTTGCTAGGCAGGTGCTCTCCCACTTGAGCTACTTCCTAGCTTCTTTGTTTTTATTTTATTTTTTTTTAAGAAAGGGTATTGCTAACTTTGCTCAGACTGGCCTTGAACTCGAGATTCTCCTGCATCTACCTCACAAATAGCTGGGATTGCAGGCATGTACCACCACACAAAGCTGGTATTTATTATTTTTTATGAGCAATTAGAAATACATATTCTATGTCTCATTATTCTGAGGGCATGGGTTTTATGATGCACTTTTTTCTCTTTCTTTTCTATTTTTTGTGCTGGGACTCAAACCCATGGACTTGTGCATACTAGGTAAGTGCTCTACTACTGAGCTCCATCTCCAGCCTTTGCTTTCTGTGGTTTTGGCTGTGTGTTCTTTTTGTTTTACCTGTGTTTGGGAAGGATCAGTGGAGAGATACATATTTAGAGAGTTGATTTTATTTTTAGCTGTCACTCGATATATTTTATTCTATTTTATTTTTTCCTGCTTGAAGTGCTATGGGATCAAACCTTGGGCCTTGTACACACTAGATAACAACTCCATTCTTGTCACTTAATCATTTTAAAAATTGACATTTTTTGGTCAGATTTTAGCTACATTGAGAATGTTGTACATTTTTATCATTTCATTTCTTGTGCTATTTAAAACTGTTATAATTAAGAATTATTTTTCTGTTCTTAATCCACTTTTATCCCTTCTAAATAAAATACTCGAGGACAGAATTATTTTCCCTTTAGTTTTAATGCATAATTTTGAGGACTAAGTTGTTTTCTGCACCTGGAAATCAGTAGCAGTTGCCAACTTCACCTGACTAGAAGGACTTTATCCTATTCTCCTAAAGGTTTGTAACCTGGGTTCCTGCACCAATGAAGTGATGTTGGCCCTCCTGATTTTGAGTATTTGCTTACATCATTACTATAAATATTTAACTTTTTCTAAACGCTAATTATTGTTTACTTACGGAAATAGTCTATTCCTTAGGTAACTGTTAGCACAGATCAGTATTAAAGCCAACAAATTAGAAAAAGAACTGTTGATCTGAAAATTTATTATTTGTGTGGTTATTTGTTTTAGCATATACTGTGACCTCAGCAACTATATTTGCTTAATGAACAAGAAAGTGAATTTCATGTAGTGATATGCAGAAAAATTTATAAGTTTTTGTGATTTGAGCTAAGAATTCACTCTTAGTCAAATTTTGTTTCCACCTGCTAGTGTGACTGGGATTTGGATTTGGGGGCCTCATTCTTGCTAGGTATCCTTGCTCTGCCACTTGAACTGTGCTCTCAGCCAATATGCTGGTTTTTGCTGTATTTATCTGTTCCAAGTTTTCTGTTATGACAGGCTACAAGTAACCTTGGATATTTGAGATTTATCCAGTTCTGTTTCCCTTACCCATTTTTTTTTTTTTTTTTTAGTAGTTTGCAGTATTTCCTGCTGATCCTACAACTAGGCTGTTCTTCCTCCTCCCTTTTGATTTTCTGTGTTCGGCAGCCAGGGCGCTCACACATTAGAGTTGGAAGAGGTATCAGTAAAATGTTAGGAGCAGCAGATACAGACTGTGAATAAATGTAATTTATGGTCTGATACCTTTTGATTTAAAATAATCATAGTCATTAAAAGGCAATTTTTGTTTGTAAAATATCTGTCCCTATCACCATCCCCACCCTCTGCCCCATAATAATAATGATACACAAATGATGTACATACAGTGGAGAAAGAACACACACTGTGGGACATCCAATGAAAGATTTGGGAGCAGTGCACAATTGTGACATTCTTCAGTAGAATTCTTTCAGATTAATGAACAATTTCTTTTCTGTTTAAGGAAAATCACCAGCGTGTCAGCATTTTCTTTGACTATGCAAAACGTAGCAAGAGTACTGCCTGGCCCTACTTTCTGCCAATGTTGAATCGCCAGGATCCCTTTACTGTTCATATGGTAAATTTTGAATTGATCTCATTGTTTATATATGTGTGTGTGCTTTATGTAGATGTGTGTATATACATCTATATATGTGTATATGAGACAGGATACACATATGATATAAGGAGGAAATTTGGACTTAAAAATTTTAATTTTTTTAATCTAGACAAACTTGTGATCACATTGTAATTTAGGTAAGAAACAGATCTGGGCTATTTATGACTTGGTAATTTGCTGGTATCCAGAGGAGTAGCTGCTTTCCTTAATGGTAAAGAGGTTGTTGGAAGAAGTTGAGGTTTGTTGTGACTCATTTACAGAGTTTTGTAGATTACTGGATAATGATGAGTTCATTATCTTCAAAGTACATGGTGAATTCACATATGCAAACAGCTTGAGATCATCTGCACCAGGATAAATCACATTTTACTATGTAAAAATAAAATTTTGCTTTGAAGCAGCTACTGTGTTTCATTTTGTTTTAACTAAGTAACAGTACTTTTTAATATTGTAAGCAACTCTTATTTTATTGATTATTGTTATTATTTATTTGGTGGTACTGGGGTTTAAACTCAGGGCCTCATGCTTGCTAGTCAGGCACTCTGTCATTTGAGCCACTCCACCAGCCCAGCACTCTTGTTTTAAACTTAGGTTGAAGCACTATGTTCGGAAGCCCTAACATTGAAAAATATTTTATGCAATCTGGAGATGAATGAGAGAATCAACAAACAGGTCTTCTATTTTTCCATTGTACAGTGGACTGCTAGAGGTAGAGAGGAGTTCTGAAGGCTATTTGTTTAAGTAGACATCTTTAAGTTTTCAAGTCAAGGACCTCTGTCAGTGAAATATTTTTGTGCATGTATCTGTTCTTTCCCTCTCCCTCACCTCTTCCTTCTCTCCCCCACCTTCCCTCCTTTTCTTCTTCCCTCCCTCCACATGTATCTATATTTATATGCTAGTGCATTCTTACATTTATATTAAGACATTTGAAAAAAGAAATTCAAAAGGACTCATGAACTGCATTTTAAGGAATAATTAAAAAAAAAACACAGCAATGTATTTTCTTCTTTTGAATTCTAGAAGTTCTTTTTCACTGTCTAGATGCCTTCCTAGTGTTAGAATAAAATTAACGTATGTACAGTTAGGGTGGGGTTCATTATTAAATGTGCAGCCAAATCCAAAGTAACTTACTTTTTTTTTTTTTTTTTTTTGCGGCAATGGGTATTCAACCCAGGGCCTTGTGCATGGTAGATAAGTGGTCTGCTGCTGAACTACACCCCCAGCCCCATTAACTTTTTAATGATTTAAATTACTTTTGCTGTTGATTTACTATGTGTTGATGGAGCTAATGCTTGGAGTAAAAATGTCAAGTCTCTTGTTCCTTTTCTTTCCCTGTTTGCTTATGTTTGTACTGTGATAATATTTTTAATTCCTGGGTTCCTAACAGGAGTCCTTTTAAGTCAGTTGTCTATTTTGTGAAGGTTTTTTTGTGGGTCTTAAAATGAATCCCAAATCTTTCTTTTGAAATGCAAAATAATCCAGGCAATATCATGAAATTCTTAAAACCCAGCTAGTTTTGATTCACTTTGAAGGAAGTATTTTAAAAACACATTTTGTATGTTCGTATATTTAAAAATAAAATTTAAAAAATGAATATAAGCTATTGTTACAGAAATTGAATGTGACAAAAATCATGCAGCAAAGTAGTTAAAAAAACCTCAGCTTTTAAGATATATAATGTGATTTTTAGAATCATTTGGTATTTTTATTCATTTTCAGGCAGCAAGAATTATTGCCAAGTTAGCAGCTTGGGGGAAAGAATTGATGGAAGGCAGTGACTTGAATTACTATTTCAATTGGATAAAAACTCAGCTGAGTTCACAGGTAACAAGAATTTCTTTCTGTGCCATTGAAAGGAATATAACATCCATATTTATGGAAACAGGTTAAATTACAAAAAACCATTTTATTAAAATAACGCCATTTGAACTTGACAAGTAAGCTGACTCCTTTTAGGTGTGGTCGTATGCTGTGCCTCGCTGTTTCTTCCTTTGACTAGTTTCAATTTAAACCTTGCTATCTCTTCTGCCATTTGGGGTTTCCCATTTTTGCTCTTCAATGGTCAGGGATTGTCTTCCTTCTAGATGGCTGCCAAGATTATACAGCTTGGAGAACTGAAAGGATCTGCAGAACTCCAGTAAGCTGCTCATATAAGGCTCCTCGTACTGGAAAAGATGACATAGCAGGAGAGTGTAGCCAGGCAAGCTCCGGGAAATGATACTTCCAGGCACAGTTTCCCCCACTGACTCAGGAATCCAAACCACCATGATTTGTGTGAAAAATCTCAATTACTAGGAGAGTGCTCTGAAAGATTCTAGTGAGATCTTTTCTGTCCTTTTGGTCATGTAACCAGGCTGAGCTGTTTAATGACTTGCAAATTGGCCTTGGGAGCCACCAGAGGAATTTCAAACTGCAGACGGCATATTACAAACCATTAGTCAATTTGTTTTTCCTTATCTTGACCAAGAGTCTGTACCAGGCTGCCAGGTGTCCCTGGGTAAGCATGGAGCGGCCCTTTGCAGCAGGGAGATGGTTGTGTCTCATACAATGACTTGTTCTCATGTTGTCACAGTGTGACTGTGGAATTGAACACTTAAACCCAAAATGAGACAGGAAGTCTGCTATTGGTTGTCTTGGTTGCTGTGAGGTCTCTCTAGTTCTGCTTCTCTATGAAGGAAGATAGCTTACTGGTGTATGGCTGGGAACATGAATTTTCTGTATTTGTCTTCATGGTTGCTAGAGTAGGGCAAAAGGTGGCACATTTATGATGGCTCTTTGAAGTGTTTCTTTTAGGCTGCCAGTGACTAAGTGTTGGGTGTTAAGGTGGAGGTTTGGTGGGAATGGTGATCAGAAAAGAAGAACAATAAAGGGATGGTTGGGGGAAGAGTATTTTGGGCAAGAAAATATAGAAGAGAATGAGATTTTGGTGTGGGGGTGGGTGAGATGGAGGAATGAGACCAGGAGAAATAATACTGATAGTTATTGTACTTGACAGCACAATATTTATTACAAAGAAATGTCTATTTTAAATAAATTACAGTTTTTTGAAAGTTGTAATTTTGAATTCAGATTACTCTATTATTTTAATAGATTTTAACTTGAAGCATGAGAAAAATGCCATGAAATTTTGCTTAGATTTATTTTTGCCTTATAATTGCCTGCCTTTTTTATCCAGATAGAAAAGGCTAATTGCCTTTTCTACCTGGATAAAGATACTTCAGGGTTTCTTCAGTGAAATTCAATCTTTTTAATGTCAGTAAGCATTGATAGTAATCCTTTGTAGGCTTAGTATTTTTATAAGAGCCACCAAGTTGATTTTACTATTCAAGAGTTACTTTTTAAAAATGTCTTTAAAACACGGAAAATAGAGGGGTGAAAACGAGATTTTAAGTTTCAACATGTGTATCATTTGGAATCAATACTTAAGTAGGAAGCACTTCTTTTTTTTTCTTTTTTAAAATGATCTCATCCTTGTAAACAAACCTCGTTTTGTTTTAACATTAGCTTTCTGATAAGGTTCAGTTATAGCTGAATTCATAAAGTGAGAACTGGTAGGGAAGAGACTACTACAGTAGTGGCACTGGTGCTTTGGGCAATAGCACCTTAGACTGTCCTTACAGCATAGCTTTTATATTGTGCCTCACAGATCTTCTGGAATGATTAGCATCTGTTTAATGCTTACATGGTTGTAAACACATCCAACAGGGGATAATATCTCTCATTACTAGCAGAAGGAAGTATTTCAGTATCTAGAATAGTTTTCACAAGAATTGAGCGTCTTAGTAGATAAATGCTCTTCGAGACCTTTTCTGTATCTTTCTAGTGCACTCTTTTTACCATGGTCTTTGGCTTTTAGTTGTGATTTGGCATTTCTGCTTTGCAAGGCCTTCTGCTACAGTGTACTGCTTCAGGGTACCTGGCACAGTCTGGCTGTGCTTCTCAGAGCCTGCTCACTGCTCTGCTGCTTGTCTCTGATCACACTGTCTCTCTGGCTGTGGGCAAAAACTTCTTCCATGGCCTTTATTAGGATTAAATTGTAGATGTCTTGTTTAAAGAAAGTGGCATAGGATTGTTTGAGATTTTATTTGCTTCCTTGCTCAAATGTCATGTAATAGTGCTATGTATGTGGAAAGTCTCTTTTTCTCTAAGTGTTTTCTCCCTCATAAAAAGGACCATAGGTTTATGAATCTAGTAGACATAAACTTTTAAAAGTTGGTAGATTATCTACTAAGTACCTGGTACATAATAGTTATTGAATAAAATAAAATAAACATTTCCTTTCAGAAATTAGTATTATCACTTTCCTCTTATACTTTCAGCCTTTGACTTTCTCTCTATATTTCTTTAGGCATTTCTACACAACATTTTGAGATACTGATTGTCACGATAAGCTATTAGCATCTCTGTGCATAACTCAGTTTCAAGTCTATGCAGTATCTTCCTGTTATCAGGCACTTATTTCAAAAAGCTTTGCCACAGAATATAATGCAGATAGTTCAGTGCAAGGCAGTCATCTAATTGGAAAAACAATTCGTTAGTAAATGTTGCGACAAAAGTTTTTGCTAGCCTCACTTATGAAATTTAGCTGGAGCTTAGCATTCAGATTATTCCAGTTTTAATACTCTTTTGGTTAAGATAGCTGGCGAGTATAGTGATACTTAGAATATTTTACATCATCCTCATGCTTTTTGTAAAGTAGGATTAGAGGAAATAGTCCTAAAACTCATTTAGCTACCTTTTGTAAGCTGATAAGTTAGGGTAAAATTAAAAACAAAACTAAGTAATAAGTCATTTATTTCATAATAGAAACTTCGTGGTAGCGGTGTTGCCGTTGAAACAGGAACAGTCTCTTCAAGTGATGTAAGTACATTCCTCCTTAATTCACTGGCCTCCTAACATCCTGAAAATCATTTTGACTCATAGGCATTTAAAATTTTGAAGGTGTTTACTAGTCTACAGTGTAAGTCTGTGGATTGGATGTGTCGCTCACCTCCAGTTAGGTTAACTGTATTTACAGAACTATATATAAATATTTACAGTCTGTGGTGATCACTTATCTGTGAGAGACATGAGTTGTCCTTCCTCATTGCTCTTTTTTTTTTAGGACACTTTGACCTGAGAGTCAAAGCAAGAATCTGAATTCAGGTCCACAGCTGGAGCAAATAATCATAGGTTACTCTCGTCACACTTCAGTTGTCTGATAAACTGTCTAATATCTGTCTAAGCAAGAGGTAAACAGTGCTTCAAACACTCGACACGATTTCTGTTAACTGATTACACTAAAATGCTGTGCTGCACTGTGCTGCTCAGCTTTATGTGAAATACATGGTGGCCAAACTTGGAGCCCTTTGCCCCTTTTTTCAACCAGTCACTCCCTCTCATTTTTGTAAGGCCAAGGGGTTAAAGGTTAAGACTAATCGTGGCTCCCTGATAAGTTCCTTTTTTGGCTAACATTATCTTTCCCATTTGGGAATAGTGTAACTTTGCTAAACTCTTAAGAACTCTTAAGCTTAGGAACTGGCCATAAATTTGCATAAGTGAGGATTGGCATGATTGGAGCCAGCTGACAGAAACGTGCATGGGGGGAAAAAAGAGAGAGGTGTGAAAGTGCATCTAGCTTCATTTGTTGGAAATACCTCTGGGACACTGGAAAGCATCTTTTGAGAGTAGTATATATAAGTTGCCTAAAGTAGATGTGAATGAAGCTCTGTTTGAGCCATTTGATAATTGTGTTGATTATTGTAGCCTCCATAATCTGAGCAAATCAAACCTGTATGTTTATTCTAAGACTGAAAACAGCAGCAGAATCCACTTTCAAAGCCAAAAAAAAAGGCTTTTCTTTTGGGACAGCAGTTGAAAGATGAGCAGTGGTAGGCCAGAAAAAGGAACCTGAAGTAGAGTCAGAACAGGGTATAGAACTAGAAGAGCAATCTTGGGGCCAGGGTAAGGAAGTGGTGGATAGAAGTGTAGTTACTCAGTCACAGCAGATACTGTTTTTGGTAGTCTTTTATTTCCTATGTCTTGCATTTCTCCCACTTTGAAATTTGAAAAATTGTTTTAATATGTATGTTTTAGGTATATAAGTAGATTTTTTTTTTAAAAAAGATAATTTTCAGACTCATTTGTCCTGTAAACTTACTTCAGTGGTTGTTAAAGTATTTGTAAGTTATTAAAGTTAGCATAAGGAGCTGTAAGTGCAGCTGACATGACATTCTTATTTTGCTCTTTTCTGTCCATTTTATTGGAAAAACAAAATGAATTGAGTTGGCAGTGCGTTAATCTAAGTGGTTTATCTAGTGGATTCATGCACATGCATCCTAAATGGGATTAGCATCAGGGGAAATTGTGAGAGGGGATGATTACCTCTCTCATTCCCTTTAATGCCTCACAAACCTGAACATATTCTCTGGCTCTTGCTGGTGGCTCTCATTTTTCAGATGACTATCAATTTGAAAAGCAGACCTTAGGTTGAGAGTGGTATGTTAACCCATCCTCTTTTAATGGGTGAATCGTAATCTGGTAGCTAATATTTATTGAGCACTTACTCTGTGCCCTGGCACTGTTTTGCTCATTTTATCTTTCCTTCGCTTTGAATAGTCATCTCTTTCTGCACTGTAGGCCACAATGCTAGCCACATTTCATGGATAAGCAGTGAGGCCAAGCAAAAAAGGAACACCAGCTTGCTTAGAGTCAGTCATATGGCTGATGAGTGGAAGGAACACTAATGAAACAAACTGCCTAGTGAGAGAATTGTTCTTGAGGCCACTGAACTTAAATTGGATTTTAGGTATTCCTCAAGCCACATTAGCTGCTAAGACATTTTTTTTTAATTAGTATAAGTTAATTGTACAAAAGGGGTTCCCTGTATGTCCATACATGCTTATAATGTACTTTGACCAAGTTTACCACCTTTATTACAATTATTTTCATACAGACTTTGATTTATCAATATTATATCTGAAAATCTCTATACTTTTCAGTGTGAAAAGCAATTTGGTAGTCTGCGTTACACAGTACCGCCACTTGACGGCAGTATAAAACAAACAACACTTTATACTTGCAAAAGGAGAAACATAACTCAAGTTTTTCAAAATGTCCACAGAAACACCATTCTAAGTTATGAGTAGATCATTGCAAACATTGTAACTTCATTAATATTGTATAAATAGAATTTCCTTAAAATATGTTATCTTTAGATAGTTGTGAAAATAATAAAACAGCATCAAATTATATGTCATTATGACATGTGTTAAGATTCTTCGTAGTTTTTGAAAGTGAATCATAAATCATCTTCTGAGGAAGCAGCACAGCCTTGGAAGTGGACTGCTGGGCATGTGCCTTCACAAAAGAATGCTGTAGTCTTTCGTAAACTTTGGAAGACTTAGAAAGAATGTGGGGCTCTGGGAGTGCTGATACATGACTGTAATCCCAGAATTTGGAAGGCAGAAGCAGGAGGACCTCCAGGCCAGCCTGGGCTACATAGGAAACCTGTCTCAAAAAAAACCAAAAAACAAAACTTAAAGCACATAGTATCTATGTATGATACAATTTCACTAAAAATTGCTATGATTATATATTAAAAAGAAGAATGTGGTAACTTTTGTTTGTTTCCTTTATCCTCAGCCCACTTTCAGTAGTAGCTGTGTGGAGGAGCACAGATGACTCCTAGCTCCCTCACTTGACTGTGTCCTTTTCTCTGGCTACTTTTGTTGCAGACTGTGGACGTTGTTTCCTCATGGAGAGTGACTTAACTTCCTATGCTCTCCTTCTTGCTTGTGGTGTATCTGTCTCTCAGTGCTCTGGAGTACTTCTGCTCAGTAGAACTTCCTGTGGTGAAGGAAGGGCTCTGTGTATCTCACCTGCCTCTTATGGCAGCCACTGGCCTTTGGTGGCCCTGTAGCACTTGGAAGTATGGGTAATGTGAAGAAGTGGCTTTTAATTTATTTAGGTTTTTAAAATACCTTTATTGAAATGTATTTCACATTATAAAATTCATCCATTTATTGTTCAGTGGTTTCTAGTAAATACATTTATGAAGTTGTATGATCATGACCACAATCTAACTTTATAACATTTTAGTACACAATTATAGCCTTCCCATTCCTGTTTCTCTTTTGGCCCTTGGCAACCACTAATCTACTTTCATGTATTTTGGATAGTTGATGTAAATGAAACTGTGTGCATGGTTTTCTGTGGCAGGCTTCTTTTGCTTACCATAATGTCTTCAGGATTCACCACGTGTGAGCATGCACTGACAGCATGTTAGAGTAAAAGTGGGGGAAGAAACCCCAAATGTAGTTTCTTTGGCTTTTGGTCACATTACTTAAGTTTTCTGTGGTAATACATCTTTGTTAATGGAGTTGGGTTTTTTGTTTTTAATTTAAATCTGTGCTGGTGTGGTTCTGTTTGGTTATTCAGAAGAGGTAGAGGATCTCTCTGATTTGTTTCTTCACACTTCACTGGTAAGTCCCCCAGAAGTGCTGCTCAGGTAGCAGATACCAGTGTCAGTAGCCCGCACATTACAGGCCTATTCTTATATCAGTTATAGTAGTTGCCTCTTATCTGTGGTTTTGCTTTCCAGTTACCAGGAGTCAGCTGCACTCTGAAAATATTAGGCGGAAAATTCCAGGAATTAACCACTCATAAGTTTTAAATAACTTTTATTGCAGTCATTGTTACAACTGTTCTACTTTATTATTGTTGTTAGTCTCCTGTGCCTGTTATACATTAAACTTTGTCATAGGCATGTATGTATAAGAAAAAAGTGTAGATAGATTTCAGTACTGTTTGAAGGTTCAGGCATCCACCAGGGGTTTTGGAGCATACCACTGTGGATAAGGGGGATTACTGTACTTTTGTTACTGTGTAACTTTCAAGAGCATTGTTACTTACCTAGAACAATTCTTAATGATTTTTTCATTGTCCTTATATCTTCTTACCACAAAGTTAATACTTTCAAACATTGAGAATCTTCAAAATATATGTACAGAATGAAAATTAAGAAAAGAAAGATACCTGCCTATAATCCCAGTATGTGGGAGACTGAGGCAGAAGGATCATGAGTTTGAGGCCAGCTCGTGCTACATTGTAAGACCCTATCTCAATACCACCCCCACCAAAAAAAACAAAAAGCAAGAAAGAAAAAGAGGTAAGATAAGTACCTATGACTTCTATTTCTCTAATCAGAATTTTGGAAGGATTACCTAGAGATATATTCTGGCAATGAAAAAGAAAACTTCTTTCATCTGTCATTTTGAAAGCCTACCAGTGACAGCAAAAATAAGGTAACCTGATGCTGTGTGTTCTTCGAATTGTACATAAAGCAATAATTTATAAAATAAATCATATTTTCTTAGTTACATCAACAGTACATTTCCCTTATAATAAAGACTTCCAGTAGTCATTATATAATTAAGCAAGTTATATTGAAAACATTATTTGGAGATTTATAAATTTATTAATAGTGAAATTATTATTATTATTACTTTTGGTAATAGTACTGGTGGTTGAACTCGGTGCCTCCCACTTTCTAGGTACATGCTCGACCACTGGAGTCACACCCCAGCCCTTTTTGCTTTAGATATTTTTGGAATCCCAAAATTCATTTATGCTGGGTCAGGCCCGGACTAAGACGCTTGTATTTACACTTCCCACATAGCTGGGATGACAGGTGCATACCACCATGCCTGACTATTCTATTGGTTGAGATGAAGTCTCTCTGTTTTGCTGGGGCTTGCTTCAAACTGTGATCCTCCTGATCTCTGCCTCTTGAGTACCTAGAATTACAGATGTGAGTGACTACATCTGGTTGAGAAATTATTTTATATAACCCTGTCCTAATTTATTCTAAGTATTTTCTG